GAGATAGAATTAGAACGGTAAAAATAGAGAGAAAAGGGGTAATAACCTCTATAATTCGCGTATACTACGTGCTGCGCGCGCTCTGCGCGGGGTGTGTTCACTAGTAGGAATAGGGAGGCGGTATATGAATAGCGGTCAAGGGTGGAAGTACCAGGGTTTAAATATTAATGAAACGCCACTGTAACTCGACCTGCAGCTGAATCCTTTCGCCCCTTTCAGAGATGCACCGGGAGGATCGGGGCCACTAGCCTCTTCACGGTGGGGATTCTCGTCTCATCAGCCCGAGGCCTCGATTAAACTCAATGTTGGGGGATCGATAACGCAGAGAACATAAATGCAGGGTCCCCACCTTTGGCATAAAGTACATTCCGATGGTCGGGCCAATATGGCTCCCAGTTGTCAGAGCTATGATGGCTTACAATATCGGGTGGAGATGGCTTCATTTCAGATCCATGGATGCCTGTGAAAAAAGACAAAGAAAATCCACAGGAATCTGTCTAAAGCTTCAGCCATGAAAAGCAGTCCAAATTGATCATATATATACATATGTGGGAATAGGGCGCCCAAACATTCAAGCATGAGTTTTGCATACCGCTCTTAGCCTCAGACATCAAATGCCATATCTTTATTCCTTTGGTCAATCTCATAATTTGTCTTCCTATCACTAGACGAATATAGTACCACAAACGAAACGACGACTTCAACTTCAACTGATCGACATTCTATCTCTCTCTGGATCTTCAACCAATTTTTACAGTCGCGCCCGTGCCGCAAGTGCATCCTTCATCCTCACGTAGGGCTTCGCCGTCAAGATCGCCTGTGTCGCCCTCCTTGGTCGAGATCTTGGACTGCGATACACGCGCACTTTGCTGAATTGCCGACGCCCGCGGTCGTCGAATGCTCTCCCAAACCCGCAGTTGGTAGGGGATCATGTCTCCGTTGGAGAGATTCTCAAGGATCGCGTGGAGCCCTTCCACATCTTCTAGGCATTGATTGGCTCCCTGTCCTTGGTACGGGACCATCGGATGAGCAGCATCGCCGGTCAACACGGCCCGACCCTTAACATAAGTGGGCAAGGGCTCCTGATCGCGGACTTGAAAAGGCTCAACTTGAGACATGCGGCTATTTCGACATTTATTGTTAGCTTCAGAAAGAACAACCGTTCGGTCAGGCACTGAAAACTTACCCGTACAGGCGTCCCAGCCACTCGGGGAACCCGCGGACATTGTCCACCAACTCCTCCACGCTACCCTTGGCATTCTAAGAATACTCGAGAAGGGCTGGATTCTTTAAAATTGAGTCGGGGACCGCACAGGCAACATTTATAAACCGATGCTCACGGCAGGGATACATCACAAGGTTGCGGTTACCTTCATCACCCGCGGCAACAATGGCGATTGAATATCCCTCCTCGTAATTGAACATATCCGGCATGCGACCTTCAGCTTCCATTGACTCCTTGAAGACCTCCACAGGGATCACAAAATGATACAAGGAGAGTCCGCAAGGGGCAGGCTGAGGGTGCGATGGCAGAATAACTGCGGCACGAACTTTCGAATGGATACCGTCGGCGCCTGAATAAGAGTTTTATTCATCAGCTTTCGGTAAGACTGCGTTGGTCTCGTTGCCTCTTCCACGATTTCTTACCAATGATAAAGTCCACATCGGCTGAGTCCCGGTCTGCAAAATGAATACGCCCGGCTTCAGGGTCAACACGCACAATGTGACTACCGTACATAACCGGAATCGGCATTCTCTTTCCTTCCTCGCTTGTCACTCGTCGAAACAAAGCATCTTCAAATCCTGATGGAATACAAGCCCCAAATCCCTATCCCCGAGCACTAACATACAGGAAGATTATGGGAAGAATGATCATCATTTCCCAATATAGGATAGGTTTTACCTCCCTTTGCTCTCTCTCGAAAGCGTCTAAGCGACTGACAGTATCCTGACGGGCCGGAATGGCCTCCGCATCGATTTGTCGCTGCGATGATGGCTTTTTCACCCGCAGCCAGATCAGGTATTTGTCCCACCTACCAAAGCGCTGACGAGCAGCAATTGTTTCAAACACCCAGTATAGCACGGTTGCAACCGTTACAATAGAGCTTGAGACCCGCCAAAGAACTTGCTTGACTCGAGAAGCAAAGACGAAATACGATCGTATGAGGTGAAAGGAAGCAAATGCTGAGGTTAAACAAAATAAGGCGATTTTTCAAACGTCCCGATATCCGGGAACCTGTCATTTGGAAAGCGTCACAAGGGCCTTTCGCGGTCATCAAAACGTAGACCAAAGAACCCCATGACGTCGTAGCTGCACGTGAATGACTGCTTGGCGACGAAGTCGAGAGGTGTGTGGCGGTAAGGTGTAGCGGCGACATCACCAGCCGCAAGGAGTACCTCGGCCGTGCTAACTTCCATGCTAAGTACAATACCTGTGCACATCACTTGGTGTGCGCGTCCAGCAAATAAAGGTTCCAAAGGTACAAACCACAATAGCACCCGCAGATAGTTCGAGCGTAGTGGTCGGAAGCTTAAGAATGAAGCGACCAAAGAGCTGAATCATCAGTCAGGTAGCTTGCCACAAACTGAGTACTCTGGCGAGCGTATCCGTTTTTGACTTGTCCCATATCTCGCTCTGCATAATTTGTGGGCATTCTAAATACTGCTTCTCGACAAGGTACGCCAATTGACGGCTGTTGACCAGAAAGCGCGTGCTGTCCTTGGGCTGAAGTAGCATCCCGCCCATGTCGGCGTAGAAACCGTGTCGCAGAGACCATCTGTCTTCTTTTATTCTCAGCTTGCGGAAATGCTTCACAGATCGCCATGCTGAGGCATATTGACCGATAGCAACGGAAAGGACCAACCCCGGGGAGACAATAGCCCAAAACACCCACTTCGCCCGGCGGTAAAAGATATGAAACTGACTGTCTTTGGGGTTGGGAATGTTCAGACAGACTGCTGTCCAAGTACAGAGGAAGACTGTCAAGAGAGAAGACCAAATAATGTCCATAGTTCCCGTATGTTGGGCTCAGATACCCAGCCAGCGGTTCCATTGTTTGAGATGCCATTCATAACGTAAAGAGAAGCGCAATAAAAGACGCATTAAACGCAAGGGTGAGGATGGCGGGCAACCGAAATAATTTAATCAATATAATCGCCAACCCTCATACCTACGCTTTAGGGCGTGTGCCGCAAAGGAAGGGGCACATAGACCCAGGACTCTTGGCTCTACTCCTGATTTGTGATCTTGATACCAACAGCGCGGGTAAAAATATACCTGCATATTTTAGCGCTGCTGTAATCTCGAGAAACCCTGGCCAACGATTTCTGTGTAGCCGCTGGGTGGGTTTCTCAATTGTTCCTGAAACAAGGGGCATGCATGGCCCTCGCGAAGGCCGCGCCGATCTGAGATCTGTTGATTTGTGGCTTTCTCGTAAGAAAGAGCAAAGGCGGGGTTTAAAATCAAAAGAAATAATTCGAGTTGTAGATATTGCCTTCTATCTGAAGCCAATGTGCGATTTGATTCAGCACGCGGGGCCCCGTTTCCAATACACCTTACTAACAAATCGGCCAATGCAGAGACCAAAAGAAGGATACAGCTGATGAGGTAGGCCGTTATCGAACTAGCCTCTCTCGGAAACTAGTTTTAGATCCGCCGATCGTGACAGGTGTTTGATGTGATGGGTTTCACCGTCGCGTGTCACGCGCGAAAAGAGGGCTCTTAGAGATTTGAGAGAAAAACGTGCACTAAGATCGTTTCACCGCTTGAAATATTTGGAATCTTTCATGGTCCGTCGAATTTATCATTTTACAGTGCTCTCATTTATATCTTGAGACCGCAAGGATGACCCGACGTGCGACATCCCCGCTCGAAGACTCCCAGTTGTTGACTGAGAGCCCGGCACCCACCCCTAAGCCAGATAACAAGTCATACTGGCCAACTATCGGAAGCAAAGAGCAGATTCCAGGATGGCTCCGTGATAATGATTATATTTTGGAGGGCCATCCGATGCCCACATATTCTTACAAACGATCTTTACGGCTGTGGCGTTGTTTACACATGGAAACAATGAACATTTGGACCCATCTTCTTGGCTCGATAGTTTTCATCGCTGTTGCTTTAACCCTGAAACACTGCGTCTCGCTCTCAAAAGACCTCAATTCCACCCGCGGCGATGTATTTGCTTTCGGGTCCTTCTTGACCTCGGCAACCATCTGCTTTGGGCTCAGCGCTGGATTTCACACCCTGAGAAGCCACTCTTACAATATCCACCCTCTCTGGGGCAAAATGGATATCCTCGGCATTTGTTTCCTTGCCCTTGGAGCCGGTACCTCTATGACATATTACGCATTTTATTGCAGACCCTTCCTCCAGTGGGTGTATTGGGGTCTAAATCTCTTCTCGGCAATTGGCGCTGCCATCACTTTGTTTGACACAGGCGGTGGTGGCAACAAAATGAGGACTCTACGAGGAGGTGTCTTCTCCTTGCTCGCTATCTCTGCCATGCTGCCTATCCTCCAAAAAGTGATTGAGTTGGGCTGGACTCGTGCGAGTAATGAAATCGGGGCTGGGTGGTATCTCGCAGGAGCGCTCTCCCTCTTGGCCGGAGTGAGTGCTTTTGTCTTACGATTCCCAGAGAGACTGAGTCCCGGGACATTTGATATTTGGGGTCATTCGCATCAGCTTTGGCATACATTTGCTGTGCTTGGCGGCGCTTTTCACGTTGTCGCTTTGGTGGCTGCATACGACTACCGTCGGACACACGAAATCTGTTGAGTTAGCTTGCAGCACATATTTCTAGACCACTGCCCGGCATTTAAAGATATATGTAGAAATATATAGTGATACCGATATTAATGCCGCGTCAATCACCGTGAACCCTTACATATACTATGATTACTTTTGTCACTAATGGAGGGTGCAGAATTTCTCGAAGACGTGACGAGCTAGGCAAGACTAATTTAGTTGACTAGAAGACTTTGGAAATGAAAGACTCGAGTCAATATAGACTGAATTTGTAGTCCCCTCGGATAGTGATGTTGGATACCGCAAGAAAGGCGAGGTGGATACTTAACTGCCATTGGCTTTCAGATCCGAACACGAAAGGCTTGGAAGGGGGCTTTTGGGCCAAATCGTTACAACGGGCCAGGCCGGGAGGGGACATGCGGTGTGAGTGGACGTGCATAGTTAGCTTATATCCCCTGTTCTTTGTTACCTCGCGCTACATCTTGTATCTAAGGTAAAGCTGTTTGTAATAAACCAGTGGACGAACTCACTTGGCCTATTTCCCCGAGACAAGCATTCTTCTAATGGCTAATGGCCGAGCTCCGGGACCACTTGATCGCTGCCTCCCGCGCCCGTGTGGGGGAAATAAAAATGTGCAAATGCGGAAGGACAAAAGCGCGACGGGCTAATCCCAGTCAGCTGGGCACGAAAGCAATCGGAATGCAGTTTGATCTAAGGTAAGTTGGGTATTGAGTCATAGCCCCAAATGCCTCATACTTAAGTTGTTCGATCATATGTGCTATTCACTGGGTATTTCCAGATTACTTGTTTTTGGACAAATGTTCCTCTACCTGTAATATATTCATGTCATAGCCCACCAATGCCTGAAGGGTATTAAGTAGGTGCCTAATTTTGCTAGTAAAGTAAAAATAATAACTGACCTAGGACAATCTCTCGACTCTTACACTTTTTCATTTACCATATAAACAAAACACATGATATTGGATTAGGTCTAAAGAAAACATTTCCTTTGATCTTTCTATCCATGCTCCTTATAGAAGGGGAAGAATGGTAAAGGAACTTCGTGTGGCGCTGGGCATAGAGTGCAGTCGATTGGTGGCAAGTCCAAGTCTTACTGGTTTTATCACAGCCTAGCAGGGGCCTCCACTATAAGAGGGATATGTCTCGCATTTAGGCCAGAACACTGTGTCCTCATTTTATCTTCCTCCTATAAATCTGTCTAGCCCTATTTCTCTCTCTCGATGACTGCAGGAATAGTCCGTTTGCCGACTTTGGTCCTTGCGATCCTGTGTCTGGCACTCATTGATCAATCTCAAGCCACAGTGTGCGCTGCTGTGTGCGAAAAGGAGCCACAGAGTTGTCCATATGGTCAGGTGAGATCTCTCATTCTTGACCAACTTATTCTCATCTCGATGATATACTGACCATGTCTTTTTACCCTTTTCTCAGAGGGCTTCAGGGTTCGAGGTTTGTCTTCCAATTAACCGATCCTTTGCAGCCTGTACAATTTTGACTCGGTTTTTATACACAGGGCTGCTGGGGCTGCTGTCAGCCCTTCTAGTGCTACTGCACGATAATAGCAACGGTAAGTTAGCGACAAAATTCATACTAAGAGCCGGCAGTTTCACGAGCACGACGACCCTCTGACATGATTCTTTCATATATAGTTGGCCTCGAGATATTCATGACCCGACGGAATACATCAGGTCAATTTACGAATTAGTAACTATCGAAATCGCTTAGTTTATTGCGTATTAGCCTTCGATCGTTTAATTCATCTCACATTGAAACCATGCAATCTCAATCTGGCCTTTTCCACAATAAAACAAAACCTTTTTGGCAGCATTGATTCCTCCGAGATCCGACGTTGCGGTAACGTCTTCCCCTTCCAACGTTGGAAGGTACAATCATCTCCAGGATATCTGCGCCTCATGAACTTCGCCCTTTACTCCTTCCCAGCATGACGGAGGTAGCTTCCTCGAGGGTCTACCCCCATCGGGATAGTTTCGTATCTACCTACCTAGGTAGGTAGAAACAGCACCTTGTCAGATCCATATCATCTTCCTGCTCCCCCACCCACAATATATGACGAATCCTGTCAGCCTTTGGAGACAGCACACAATCTTTACCGGATCAAACAATGGGAAGATGTCGAACACGACGTCTTTGATCCTATACGTCAGATTCTCTCTTTTTTGACATAACGAAGGGCCTCCACTTGATCAAGGTGGTGACCCCGGGGCAAGTCCAATCCATCGCGGCTTTTCCCACGATTGACGAAGTTCTGTTACCCATGAGGTTCAACAAAGCCATCTAGACATTCGAGGGGCAACAATTGAGATGGCAGTACGGCCAAGAGGTGATTACGCAGTTCTCATCTCAGCTATCCTTCTTCTGGGCCGGCAGTATCGCCTACCCCACCACGCGGCTCTTCCCGACTACGCTCCCCATTCCCGTAGTGTCAGTAGCCATCAGATCACCGTCTTGACATGCACGAATAGCCACTGTCACTTTAGAGGTTATGGTCTCAGAGGCAGAGGCAAATTGTAGAGTGATATTGCTTCCGGCCTCCTTCGAGCAGAAATTTCCGAAATCGCGGTTCACGACACTGGTACAGTTTATATACTTGCTACCGGGAAAGCCACCTTGACCCATATTGATGCCGCTAGCAAATAGCAGCCAGTAATACCACGGCTATATCATGTGAAGGTATGCCAATTCCACACAGCGCCATCGCGGTCCCCTATGCATTCTACGAGGAAAAGGCTCCACTTTTGAAGGAAAATGCGAATAATTACCTATGATGCGGCGAGTTCTCAGTACTGTTGCATAATCATTTCTTTTTACCGTTACACTCGTTTTCTTCTTATGCAATAGATGGATTGGATTGTATTGAGTAAGATCAGCGCAGAATTGCTCATGTCAATTTCGAGTCGGTCTTTGCTAAGATGGTCAATGCTTGTAGATCTGTACCTGTTTGGATGTCTAATATAATTTATTCCATATCATATTAACTGCAGGTTGGAGACGGAAAACCGAGGTAGCTGTTTGGGACACTTCTTCAACGCCGGTGGTCTCCGGTGGCCCTGGAATGATTAGTGCTGACCCCGCAATTTAGTTCGCGAATCATATAACCCGCAGGAAATCACCGTGGTCTTATCTTCTGACAAGACCTTGCAACCTTGCATAGTTCTTTTTTTTTCGCTGTAACATCGGCTCGCTTCATGGAAATGTGACTCGCATTAGGAATCCGCCGGCACACGAAACTATATAATGCAGTGGGATTTTCGTCGACTTTCATAAACAACACTCCATAAACCATTTTAGACTGTGACTCGCGTAAAGCGTTTTTCTAAGCATGGTGTCCATATCCAGGATTGCTTTTGTCACCTTCGGGGTCATTCAAGGGGCAACTGCGTGGGGTGCATTAGGCCACGCAACTGTAGCCTATGTTGCACAGCATTACATTTCTTCTGAAGCCGCATCATGGTAAGTGCTCCTAAAAGCTCCATAAAAGCCATAATATCCAATGTACTAATGTATTTCAAGGGCAAAAGAAATTCTGAACGACACTTCCAGCTCATACCTAGCAAATATTGCTTCCTGGGCGGACAAATATCGCCTCACAGACGACGGCAAATGGTCAGCCCCATTGCACTACATTGACGCCATGGATGACCCGCCAAAAAGCTGCAACGTGGACTACGAGCGCGATTGTGGAGATGAAGGCTGCTCGGTTTCTGCCATTGCCAATTACACCCTGCGCGCAGGCAATGGCAAACTTAGCACTGTCCATACTGCCGAAGCTCTCAGATTCCTCGTGCACATCATTGGCGATATCACGCAGCCACTGCACGACGAGAACTATGAGGTTGGCGGGAATGGCATCAACGTCACTTTTAACGGCTACGATGACAACCTTCACTCGGATTGGGATACATATATGCCCGGAAAGCTGGTTGGCGGCAGTTCGCTCACGGATGCGCAAGGATGGGCCGACAGCCTGGTCGATGAGATTAATTCCGGCACCTACAAGAATCAAGCTGAAAGCTGGATCAAAGGCGATACTATCAGTGATACTGTCACCACTGCTACTCGATGGGCGTCCGATGCTAATGCCTTTGTCTGTACTGTTGTCATGCCGGACGGAGCTGCTGCCTTGCAGACCGATGATCTCTACCCGACATATTACAACTCCGCCATTGGCACGATCGAGCTGCAGGTTGCCAAAGGCGGTTACCGACTAGCCAACTGGCTCAACCTGATCTACGAGCAAAAGATTGCTAAACATCGGCCAGGGAAATTCGGCGAAGGGTCCCGAGATGCAGATCCTGAGCCCGAGAGTAACCGCATGTCTCTTCGCCCTCGTCAGATGAGTCGTGCAAATTTGGCTAGAGCTGCTATGGGAGGATCTTGCTGCACCTCAGAAGGACGTGAGCATAGCCATTGATCCGATGGAATTTGTGGAGAAAATAGAGATCGTGGATCCAGATGCCTGAGGCCAGCAATTCTGTTTGTTCCAGGCCCATTTTGATATACATACATCCTTCCTTCTTACCTAGCTATATAGCTATCATTCCTATATTCTGATCATCAATATCCTTTTGCTTATTTGTAATAAACAAAAACATACAAGCTTGGCTAAGGTCGTAGTCACCCAGCGCTCACCCACCAGGGGTTGGGGGGGGGGGGGGCTAGTCAGCTGCATCCCTCCCCCGGGGCCTGAGGTCGCCCCTGCAGCTTTCCAGGACTCTAATCTCTCAATATTCCAGGTCGAAGCTAAACACCCTCCATTCTCCATCATGGCTAGAACAGCCCAGAATGCACCTCCCAGTAGCCCCCACGAGTGGCGCCAGCGAGAGTAGCTAGACCATCAAGGCAAACCTGTTATCCTCGGCAAAGCGTCAGTGGACGTCGATTCATTTGATGCAGAAGAGAAACGTACAATTCATATCTACAGCAAAACTTCCATGCAGCCTGCAGACTTTACAGACTCGCGATCAATTCGACTCGTCGGCATATGCCGCAAAAAACATCATCAAGCGAGATTTTGCCATCATTGGCGGAGGAGCAGTAGGGACTTATGCAGCAATCAGTTTGGCCGATCAAAACAAAACCTTCACCCTGGTCGAAGTCACGGACCAACTTGGAGGACACACCAAGACCTTCCAAGACCCCACAACTGGGGCCACTGTCGACTATGGCGTGCAGCTCCACCTCAATTGCTCGATCGTTCGCGATGTTTTTGCCCGTTCGCGCAGCCCTCTGGCAGCTTTGGAGCCCTCGAGTTACGGCAATCCCGAATATTACGACTTTACCAAGCAAGTTGCCCTTACCAACTACAAACCGGGCTCTATCCAGTCCGACTGTGCTACCGCACTAAATAATTATCCCTATCTCGAAGATCTTGTGGACCTGCCAACGATATCCCTGCTGATCTGCTCCTCACCTGGCCAGAATTCGCCCAGAAGCACAATCTCTCCTCCGGCTCAACCCAGGGTGGTCTCTCATGGCCAGCGACCCCTGGCAATCCATTGGACACCACCGCTCTTGCCATTTTTAACGATGGCAATAATGTCGAGTTGGAAGATTTTGAAGGAGCTGCTGTTCACGGTGCCAATAACGACAACTCAGAGATTTACGTTAACGCTCTGGCCGAATTGAAGTCGAACGTGTTTCCGCAATTCTCCATCATTGCAGCTAAGCGTGCATTGACCTGCAAGAGCGGCGTGCAGCTCGTGGCCAACATCCATCTGGCAGAAAGCTCATCAAGGCCAAACAGCTTATCATTGCTAGGCCGCCGATCTTGGACGACACCAAGTATTTCGGTCTCGACCAGCAGGAGCATGCCATTCTGAGCAAGCTTTCTGGCAAGAATTACTACGGTGGCGTCATGAACAACACCGGGCTTGAGGAGGGCATTGCTTATACCAACGCCGGCGCGGACACACAGTACCATGTCGCCAGTCTGCCCAGTGTGGTGGAGATCGCCCTTTCGAATTCTTCTGGTTACTTTTTCTATTGGTACAACACGGCCGAGACCAAGACATAGGCTGAAGTTGAGGATGCGACTCGAAGCACCATCAAGTGGCTGCAGACCGAGAACAATTTTACGGCCCTAGAGCCAAATTTTGTCGACTACCAGGATTTCTCACCGTTCCATCTGAGCCCTCCGACTGAGGACATTGCTGACGGCTGGTATGGCAAGATGAAGGATCTCCAGGGTCATAGGGACACTTGGTATATCAGTTCTTTGTTGGTCATTGGCTCGACCCAGGTCTGGAACAGCACTCACACATGCTTCCGGATATTATCAGCGCTGCTCAGTCTTAGTGCGTTCGCGGGTTGGGCTATAGATATTCAAAAACCTCTTCCGCGCAGAGTGGTGCCTGTCTATGTGCTTCATTCATGTATCGCCTAGGATCATCTCATTTCTGTTAGTCCATAATATACACGAATACCTACGATTAGACTTTTTATCCGTGCACGTCCAGGTCGAAATATGTCACATGTATGATTATTCCGAGATCGCGAATTACGCCATGCAACCGCCAAGGCCCGTTTATACGGATGCGCGTTAGATGGCCGTTCACAGTAGTGCAGCCGTTATCGATTAGTGCTTGTACAAATTTAATTTCATTACCTCTAGAATCGACATGAAATGGTAGCGATTCCTTTCTCGCCAGATCCTCAACTCCCTTCTGCCTCTGCGCGCGGCTAAGAACAGGAGAGCTAGCCTTTTCCCGAATCACATTCGAGGTCGGTATCTTCCTCGGGCGGTCCTGAATCACTCTCGCTGGGTATAGCGGTGCGTGATCTCTTCGCTCGGGCGGAGGGTTTTGTACCTTTCGGCCCTTGCCAGTGGTGGCCTTGGTCGTGCGGACCATAGCGTCAGGTCTAATAGGTAGGAGAAAGGGGCAGGTAGAAACTTAGTGGTCTTCACGGTCGCAGGGGTAGTAGATGATTCCTGGTCGTTGGAGATCTCATGTAAAACGGTTGACTATGACTATTTCCCCGTAGGTACGACGTAACCACTATTCATCAGTGCATGAGTCATCCTGGGGTGAAACGCGTTGATCAATATCTCTCTTTTGGCCTGGTCTGGCCAATTCGGGGCGTTTGCATTCCGCGAACTAGCGCTCTAAACGCGGTAAGAACTTCTTAAAAAGTCATGTCGTCGGGTTGGGGTAGTCCATGGAGCAAGCGGTGAGAGTAGAAATATTACTACGGATAAATTCTACCTGCCACCAAAACGACGCCGAAAATGACTCCCCTTTGCAGACCGATTCAGGCGCCCCCTCCTTCTTTATCTTGCCAGGTCGGGCGCGTATAAGATGCTCCCGAAGTATGTATCGAACTAGGAATATGGCCCCCCTAGGCCTTAAACAGGAACCGAGGTTTTTGTTATGATCTAGTGCTACAATGGCTGTATTATTTCCCACAGTATGCACTGGGGCGGACCCTAAGTTTTTCTCCCCTTTTCTAGTTTAGCGCTCTTTCCAATATAGCCACACCAGATGAACCTGCCCCCCCATCTGTCTTGTAATAACGCCTCGAAGATTATGACATAGCAACTAAGCAGTCATGTCCACAATAATTAGCAAGCGCAAGCGTGCAAGGAAGGCATGCATACCTTGCCACAAGCGCAAGCGAAAATGCAATGGGGAGTACCCTTGCGGCACGTGCACCACCTACGAATATAACTGCAGGTACGCCGACGACGACACCACCAGCAGCAGCACTGCGGGTGAAAGCACGCTCCACTCCTGGCCAAGCGCATCATTCATGACGGCGGGAGTACTAATGCGATCGGTATTACCGCCAAATCGCGCAGCCCGGACAGCCAATCTCAAGTAGCGAGGGCTGCCGGAGCTGACAGTTCATCGTCAAAGAGTCCTGCCGTCGCGGCCGGCATCTTCGACGAGCAGAAGTCCAGATACACTGGAGAATCGGCAGCCATGGCCTTCCCGCACATCCTGGGTATGGCTCTTGGCTCCGACAGCCCTCCCAAGATCAACTCATTCGCGTACAACTTTGGGATCCGCCCTGAAGAGGCTTCCAACGCGTATGGCTTCCTAGGGAAACTAATTTCGGAGGACGACCTCGCCTTCTACTCAAATGTGTACTTCTCTGCAATGGGCCCTATTGGCGACTACATGGACCCAAGAATTTACGCCCAGCGATGTCGCGATTATTACCATGGCTCCGGCAGCAACGCGGTCGCCTTTAGCGCCGTAGCCGCTGGCGTCGCTGCTTTCGGGTCGTTCCTCTCCACAACCAGATACCCGCGGGAGTCTGATCTGCTGCAGTACGCTAAAGCTATTCTCGATGATCCTGGATCTATACGCATGCTAAGCATCGACCATATCGTCGCGTGGAGCATGCGGTTATTTTATCTACGGGCCACAACCCGCCCTAGTAATGCTTGGGTCGCGTCGTGCACTCTTATGCACCTTTGCGAAGTGGTCGGGTTACACAAAGAAGAGAATATTAAAAAGATGGCGTCTATCGCCGGCGCTGCTGTTGTTGGACATGATGCGGACCGGCTAAGGCGAATTTTCTGGATCTCGTGGGCCGGGCATCATATGCTGTCGTATGAGTGCGATCGTTCGGCAGTGACATTTAGGGCCGTGACTTGTCAGGCCATCATTCCGATACTAGGGTCCGTTGCCGACCAGTTCGTGCAAATAGTCCAGATCATCCCGTCGCCTAACTCGCCGTTCCAGCTCGAATGTCCGCCTCCAACTCCGAGGGAGGAGCTGTTTCAGCGTCTCACGACATTGAGTAAACTCCGTTTCACCCATCCGTTCCTAGTGGTGACGAAGGCGGACATTGCATTTTGTTTCTATCGACGCATTTATCAGCTTAAGACAGGCATAACGGACGAGATAATTCAACTCGTCATTAATAGCGGGAACGACGCAGTGAGAGCGGCTGAGCAGCTAGCCAACCAGGGCCATCTATTGTGGAACGTTATAGGCAGCGTCTTCCGTATATCTGTGTCTTGTTGGCCATCGACACGCTGGCCTCCTCCGCTCACATCCCTACTGCCTTTAAGGGGTTGGAAAATCTTGTTAGGGCAACGGACACAGGATTGACCCGTCAGGCATTGTCGATAGCGCGGCATCTTCTCAGCCTCAATATAGCAAAGAAGCGAAAGGAGCTTATGCAGCTGGAAGCTGTGGAGTCGGGCTACGAACCCTTCCAGGCGCAGCCGGAACCCGAGGCCAACGCCGCCTTTCCGGACATTAGCTGGGGTATGGACTGGGATCAGCTTCCTATCGAGCCATTCTATCGATTTTCGGTCCCGACATACAGCTGTAGTAGCGTAGGGGGGTGTTCTAAAATGATCCACTCAACGGCGATTCAACTCATCAAAACATAGCGTGGCACTCCAGAATGGTTTATAATGAATTCAGTATTCCAATTATGTAAGCTTGCCATTGAAGATATCTAAACAAATTCTTCCTGCATTTCGCTCTTTTCCTGCTCCACCTTTTCTGGTGTCTTAGACTGATGCCGCTCCACAAAACAGAAAACCAGAGCCACAGCTACACCCAAGCCGGAGAGACCGACACCCATATACAATGCGCCCCGGTATCCTTGTAGAACATCTTTCCCTCTATTATTGACCTGCCCCTCGACCGTGCCGGCAAACCCAAGCCCAATGGAGATAGAGTAGTTAACAAAGGTATTGACCAGCGACGCGGCGACACCCTGATGCTCCCGCGGCATAGCTCGACTCAGGATTATGGTGCCGGCGGGGAAGGACATGTCCATACCCCAAGGGAGGACGATGATACTCACGAAAGTCTGCGCCCAATAGACCTGGTGGACTGGTAGAGTGGCAAAGATGATACATCCAATGAGAAAGAAGGTCATGGAGATGAGGACCACGGTCGAAGTGCGGAAGTGACTCAATATCAGACCGGTGGTTCCGGCAGCAAACAGCCCACTTATGGCGATAGGAACGAACTGGGCAGATATGAGCAGAGGGGTCTGGCCCCTCAGGATCTCGAGGATATTGAAGGTATAGAAGATGTAGATACCGAAGCTGGACCAGCCGGCGCTAATGCAGGCTAGAGTGAAGAGGGACTCTATATGCAGGGCGCCGAAGGGGATCAGGGGGTGGCTCTCGACGAGGATAAAGACGACGAAGATGACGACGCCGACAATCATGATGCTGTAGGTGTAAGGTGTCGGCCAGCCGACAACAGGGCCTTGGTTCCAGGCAAAGTTGAAGAGAACCAGGGCGACCACGCCGGTGATAGAGCCGAAGATATCGACACGCTGATAGATACTGGGACTTTCAGGCTCTGAGTTGCTTAGCACCGGGGTTGCAGGAATAACAAAAACGGCCAAGACGGCCAGCAGAAGACACGCAAAACACAGGATCCAATATGACCAGGGCCACCAGACCATCTAGGAAAGCAGGCTGGAGAAAACGCCGCCGAGTAGGAAGCCGCCGGGAGCAGTGGCACCAAACAGACTGAAGATCATGTTCTGGCGAAGCCCCGAATCGTAGCAGCGACTGAGGATAGCAATGGCATTAGGTAGTAAGAAAGCCGGGCCAATGCCCTACATGGCGCGGCAGAAAATGAAGAAGCTGGGGCTGCTGTAGACGGCGACGCCGGCGAGGGCAGACCACAAGCCGAACCAGGCGTAGCCGCCAACGAAGAAGAGCTTGTGGCCGAAGACATCGCCAAGGCGGCCTGCGATGAGAATGAAGGTGCCGACGGTGAGAGAGTATCCAGCGGGGAACCAGGTCAGCTGGCCAGGCTGGTCGTCGATGCCAAACGAGCGACCAATGATATGTTGGGGCACGATGCTGAGGGTAAGACTGGCTTGAGTGAGGAGCTGGGAGGAGCAGATGAGGGCGATGCAGAGGGCTTCGCCGGCGACGGACTGGGGGCGTTCGACTTTGAAATTAAAGGCTTGAAGCTGATGGCCTTCAGTGTTGCTGTCGTGATCGTGGGCCTGGTTGAGTATGCCGTTTCCATAGTCCTCATTCGAGACTTCGAGGGAGGTCTGCCCCTGTGTTGAATGATCCGAGGGGGCCTCGCCAAGCGACATGTTGTCTTTTGCTTGGGAAGATATTTTTGTGGTCACCAAGGCGGACTGAGGCATGCTGAGGCTCAGGGGACGACTGAGCCTAGCTAGTAAGGCTACTCGTAGTATGGGCTTTGATCAGCCGCTATGATGATGATGGTTGTGGACTTTGTGCTTTGAATCTATATCCCAACGAGCTACCACGGAGTATATTTATTCGATTGGTGCTCCGTGAGGTTCGAGGCTGAGCCCCTGCACAAATCAATAAAGCATTTCTTTCTCCAAATCGTGATCAACCATCTTGACCGGAGGTATGCACGGAGGTCTATTGGTCGGGAGTGGAAAAAGATCAGCTATGGTGACTAAACGCCGCTTCAATATTGGTGCGGAGCGGAGCGGAGTTAGTCAGGCCGCTGTCTGGTAGTGCCAGTGTTAGCCAATGGCCCCCAATGTGCGGCTGCTGCGGCCGAGAGTTGCGGGATGACGATCCGTAACCCCGACGGTATCTCCGTCATTAGGGGGCTTGGCACTTTGACAACGGTTTTAGTGCCTTTGGCGCTAATGCTCGCCGCAGTTGCCGCGGCTATTCTGGAGCGGCCCAGAACCCACAGTGCAGCTGCGACGGTGACAGTCATGCGCGTGTTGCCCGACTCATAGTGGGTTGACCTGACCCACGGGTTCAGGGGCGCCAGTATCTCTGCGCGAATCAAGTTTGAAGGTCTGGCCAAATCAATCCCGACATACGAGCTGCCTGGAGAATAAATAGCTGCGCGGAATTAGCGTTTCGGAATTGACCAATCCGATCGGTGTGACTAGGCTGAGATGGAGAGAATGGCAACGAAGTTTGGCTCTGCAGTGGTGTCGAGACTGGGTCTGAAGTGTATAAATGGACAGGCATTCTCTGCTTCATGGAAGATTAGCCAGGCACCCACAAGCTCAAACGGCAACAGCTACAAGAGCTACAAGAGCTACCACACCTCGGCCACCACTCTTGACCGCAATCACAATAATCGATACACATTGAATTATCAATTCAATAGACAATTTTCAACAAGAGCCAAAATGCCCGAGTACGCCAAGAACCAGCCCGCCGGTTTCAAAAACGCCGTTGAGAGAGTCGCCATTGTCGGTGTAGGTGTATCCCTCCAGCAGCACCACATGTACAATAACTAACAAACGCCCTTAGGCCGGAGGCACTGTTGGATCCCACCTCGTCGCCGCTCTCCTTAAAACCGGAAAACACACAGTTACGGCCCTCTCCCGCAAAGATAGCAGCAACAAACTCCCCGAGGGCGTCCTCGTCGCCCCAGTTGACTATTCCGACGACGCCACTATTGTCGCTGCCCTCAAGGGCCAACAATTTTTCATCATAACAGTATCCCCCACTGCGCCCCGCGACACCCACAGCAAGCTCGTCCAGGCGGCCGCCAAGGCTGGTGTTCCCTACATTATGCCTAACGGGTACGCTGGCGACATTGAACACACTAAACTCGGAGAGGATATCCTGCTCGGGCCCGTTGCCAAGGCTGCCAGGGACGAGATTGAGAGCCTCGGTATGCAGTGGATCACCATGTGCTGTGGGTTCTGGTACGATTACAGCCTAGCGGGTGGTGAGGCGCGCTTCGGGTTCGACTTTGACAAGTGGGCTCTGACGATCTATGACGACGGCAACACCAAGAACTCGGTATCGACCTTGTCGCAGGTTGGGCGCGCTGTGGCCAAAGTGCTGAGTTTCAAGGAGCTTCCTGAGGACGAAAACGACAAGAGCCTTACTGTGTCGGGGTGGCTTAATAAGCCTGTGTATATTAAGAGCTTTGTGGTCAACCAAACCGAGATGTTTGAGAGCGTCAAGCGCGTCACGGGCACTAGTGACGCTGACTGGACGATCACTCATGAGGATAGTAAGAAGCGATACGCAGATGGCCTGGCGATGGTTAAGACTGGTAACATGGCTGGCTTTGGTAAGCTGCTCTACGCAAGGGCGTTCTTTCCAGATGATCCGAGTGATTGCTCAGCCAAGGCACAGAATGAGCTGCTTGGTCTGCCGGAGGAGAGCCTGGATGAAGCTACCCAAGTTGGGGCTGATATGGTCAAGGAACTGCAGCTTCGTGTTGAGCGTATGGCGTCATAGAAAACAGCATATGCAGAGGTTCAATTCAAATACAGGTGCGATTGCAGGGCAAATTTCTGACACGAACAGAATAGAAAGGGAAGGGAAATGAAAACGAAAATTATCATAATAAATTTATTTGCTTCAAAATTTTGATGTAGCTCGCTTTAATATATACTGCTACGTGGGAGTTAGTATTGAAAAGATAATTAGTTTTATTTTACATTTTTTTTCTTTCTTTTTTCCTAGTTATAACAAAGCCTTGATATTTCTCCATCTTTGCTTACAATGCTGGGGCTTGCTGCCGGGTGACGATGTTGCCTGCGATTACATCAAGCTGTGGGAACATTTGCTTGATGTATTTTGGTCATCGAAGTCTGGTATGTGCTGTGTTCCTGGCTACTGTCGGCAACAACAATATCCAGCCCTGCGCCGACTAGTTTCTATATACCTCTGGGGACCCCACGGGCAATGACTAGTTAGCAACCTTGCATTTCGCTCTCGATATTAAAGAGATAATTTCGGAGACCCCGCCGAACTCGCCCAGAGCCTCATAGATTCAAGTCTGAGTCATCGCAAGAAAATGGACTTTGAACATTGAATGGAATTTCCAGACCTCCTAGGGATCGTGACTGGGTTATCGGGACCGCAGTGCACGGGCAAGTTCCGAAAGCCTCACATCCGATCTTTGAATCGATAGATCTTAGTGATCCCAACCCGATGGCTGATATAGCTCAATTTTAGTGTATACCTAGATATTACTTTAAGTTGAAATGTGTAGGTCAAAGCTTGACCAGACCCCATGGCGAAGAGATCGGGGATCGCGGTAAAGTTCAGGAAATCGGCATTTACTGTGAAGGGCTGTAGCGAATTGACTCAATTGGGCTAGGCTAATATGCTGTTCACATCAATCTTGAAGAAAGCAACTATCTACGGCCGTTCGCTGGGTGTTTAGGTGTCAGGGCACGTGTCTCCACGTGATCCAGGTCGGGCTTCAGCCCGTGACAGTACCCCCCTCCTAGACCTCAAATCCGCCCGCAGACCCGCACTTTCACGGGCGGAGGGCGGGTTATTTTCTTGCCCTCCGAGGGCGGCCCTCCAAACATTTTGAGGGCCGACAAACATGACAGACATGGAATCTGCTTAGATGCATAAAGTATGCAGGTTTCGGCGGTATTATTTAGTATTCCGTTTACAGCTTAGCAGTATAAAAATTTAATAAAATAATCAGATTACTATGTACAAGTCCTATATAATAGCTAGATTAATATCCTATAGATAAAATATAAAAGTACAAAAAGCTTTTACTTGGAAAGTATACAGCATATAAGTTCTACTATAAATATATATTTCTCCAACTCCGTCTTATCGAATTAGCAACTTTAAAATTACTAACCACTACTTTTCTTAAAGACATTAAAAATCTATAATACCACTATTACCTACTACGATTGATTATAATCCAACTTGATTTCTTAAATCTCTTAATACTAATAAAGAAATAGATAATAAAACTAATATTCAAACCAGAACAGTGTTAAATAACAGTAATTTATTAAGATGACTTAGCAGTTTTATACGTCTAAATTAGGAAAGGTCAACTTTTTCTATGCAAATGAAGGCGGAGGGTCGGGCGAGGGCTGGTCGTTACCCGCCCTCTAAATGTTTTTAATGAGGTCTGCTCTCACCCCGGTCTCCAGACATCTCAACCCGTATCACCCGCACTCACCCTGGAGTGCTGCTTGGGTGCAGAATACTAGGCTTAAGTACGGCTGAGCGGACGGGAAGCCCTGTTCTCCACACCCTATGGTCGTATATATCAGGTAAAGTGTTGGAGAGAATGACAAATGGAATTATAGAGCAATAGAATAGGAAGGTGAGTGCACTATAAACAAGGTTGGGTGAGAATCTGACTCTGTCGCGTGACCGCCACACTGACCCTGTTCGCTGAGGTAGACGGGTTCATAACACCGGAGGAAAAACGATCAGCCATAGAAACCTGCCAGGGCATACTTCTAAAGCATCCTCAACCTCTCCCATTTCTCGAGCGCTTCGGTATACCGAGACTGCAGCCTCTCAAGCCTGGCTCGCATTCTCGCTTCGGATTGATCTTCTCCGGCTATAGCACCGAGCTCTTCATCATCTAACCTAGCAAAGGTCTCCACAGACACGGCGAGCATGGGACATCTTGGTCCCAGGATATGTCGCTCCACCACCTGCATCGCTACATTGTCAATAAAGCGATACAATGCAATCGTATAGTACGACTCCAGCCTAGCACGGACAAATAACACCTGGCTGAGATTTGTCGAGATAAAGCGAGGATGGTCGCCGTTACCCTTGTGGCTTTGCTTGACGTCGCCATTCTGATCAGCCTCTGTAGATGATCGTTTAGATGACATTTTCCCAAGAAGAATTTCGCCTCGATTCTGATCCGCAGAGGCCGTGTCTGCCAGCAACTGCGGGTTGCGAGTTACTAGCGGTCTCGCCTGATTATCCTCCAATAGTTCGGAAAGGGCCGTGTCTGCATGTTTGTGCCACTCCTCTAGAGTCTTGGCCATTATGCGACTGACCTCCAATCGCACTTTACTGTTGGGGATAGCAATGCGGATCAGAACATCATGGCAGTTCTTAACCAGATCTTTCACATCATCGACAAACCGGCTGGCAATGCCTCCCCAATGGCTAGATTGCTTCCGGAAGATTTTCTCCTCCACGTCTGGGTGCACAGTACCGGGAAGGCTGCGCCCTTCGCTGATCTTGGCTTCCTTGTATATTTCAGCGTATAGAGCGGGACCATTCTGGACGGCTTCGTCCCACACCCTTGGGTCTCGGCTGATAGAGCCGAGGGATATCAGGTCGTGCTCATAGTTTGTGAACGGGAGCTGCATGTGATTTTGATCCGCCATCTCCTCATAGAATTGATCTAGGCGAAGTTGTACTTCATATCGTAGCCTGATCCTCGGATCCTCGGAAGGCACAACCTGATACTGACCTCTGAGTGTTGCCTCTGCCATCCGTTGCATCTCATTGCAAAACTGGAAGACAAAGTACCGCTGGGCTTTCGGGCTATCTCGAGCTTCACCCATCCGGATCAGATCAGACTTGCACTCCCGAAGCTTCTGACGAATCTCCGCTATAATGTGCGGGATACTAGATTGGATCTGCGATCTTCGTTCCTTGTCGACATATTTCATCAGCGCTTGTATTCCTGTGCGGTCTTTCGCGACTTCTTGCCAGTCCTTCTTCATGAATTCGGCACTCTCTCGTTCGTCCCGCTCTGCGTCGGTGATATGAGCTTCGTTAGGGACTCGGCTTCGCAATCCGAACCAGCCATGATCGAGATGAGGAACAGTAGAGAGATCGTTCCGAAGAAGTTTGACCATCTGAGTTGGGACTTAGCATGACTCGTTGGTGGGGGAGGAAGGGGGACTAGAAGATGACATACCCATTCATCCGACCCTTCTTGTTTGCGATCACACTTGTTCAGCACGCCAATACACCGCTCTTCCAGGCCTGGAATCTCCTCCATCAGTTCGAAGATCCGGAGACGCTCCACATCCACATCATCAATGACAACCCTGCTTAGCTATCAGCCTGGGTATAATAGAGGATGTTGTTTGGTAGCCTACAAGACGATGTTCCGGTCGTTCGCTAGGTACCTGCGTGCCAGGTCCGATGCGACAGCTGCATTCATCCGCATTGACGTATCTTCCGGCCCCTCACCATTCGCACCCTTCAAGACATTCTCTTTCTTGTTCTTCTTGTCGCCTCGTATGAGTCCCGGAAGATCGATGATGGCCCAATGCATCTCGTCCGGGCCCACCCGCTCAATGCGCAGTGTCGCGTCGCTCAGACTCACCCTCTTTCCCGGCTGATCCGCGCCAAAAATACATTCGGTTGCCTGGATGGCCGAGCGATGAGATTATATTGAACTATCCACGGCAGTAAACATACCTTATCGATGATCTCTTTTATGACCTCGGTCGTCAGCTCCTCTCTCTCGACTGAAAAGTCCCGAATGCGAGCTAACAATGCCCCGTCACTCTCGGACTGTCCACCCGGCACAATCGTGGCCTTGATCGGGAATTCCCTCGCAGCGGAAGATTGGCGAAAGGATATCTGGATGGGGAACCGAGTGCAAGTCCCGTCTTTCACTGGAAAAGAGACCTCTGTGATAGCTTGGAGCACCGAGCTTTTGCCCGCACTTTGGTCACCTACCACCACGAGCTTGGGCACATTAGTATCTTGTCCGCTGACCGTAGTGATGAGAACCGGTCATTTGAACTGACCTCGGGTAGGTTAATGGTACTACTTAGCCCGAGCGCTTGCAGCTCATCGATGAAGGCCAGCTGTTCCGAGCTTTCGACCCCTGCGAAGTGACGCGGTCTACCCATTATGAGGTTGGCTTGGGGATGTCTGTATCCACGGCGTCACTGCGGGATATCAGCTCTCTTATACTTTCTTCGGCATTCCAGTACTTTTAAAATAGTGAGCCGCCAACCCCAATTCTGATTCAAACCCCTGTTCCAAAAGAGGGGTTATCAGTCCGCCGCAGCCTTGCCGCTTTTGCCATGCATCGCATTACTCGCTGTCCATGCATTAGTCGTTGTTCTAGCCGCCGATGCTTTGATCTCGGTATCTTTCCGGGATGGTAATTGGTAGATTATCCCGTCCTATGGGTTTAATACTCTTGACGTCAAACCAGCAACAGAAATGCGTTTTTACTATTGAACTAGTAGCCTTCGTCTGCCTGAAGCTCCCGCAGCAAATTTCTCAGATAAGGACAGTTTAGCAGAACAAAAATTACTCTTTCTCACTTCGCGCACCATAAGACGTCCGCAAAAGCGAAACGGCTTCGCATGGCAATCGCAGGCCTAGTTCCCCTCTTAATGCTCAAAATGATCCACAATGTCATATTCAGCAAACTGCTGGCTACAGGGCTTATATAGAGCGGCCGAATTTATAAAGTATCCAGGTGGGAAAACGAAACATCCCAGGAAGGTTCACCGAAATGCGGCCTTATCTTTTGATCACATCTTGGTCACATCTTGATCCGGACGAGGCGGTTATCCTTCCCCCCGGAGCCAAGCCAGACTCCAGCGCTAAATGATTGGTCACTAATTAAAATGGGTACCCTGGAGACTTGGTGTGAGATAGACTTTCAGGCCGGCGTTTCTAAAATTACCACCCCTGGACAAAATTTGGCCCCCAGATCAGATCTCCAGGCTGCGAGCCTGGTATTCTATGCAAAGCTTCACCTCGTTATTTCTGAATTTGAGGAATTGTGTGCAATAAGACATTGCGAGAGCAGCTACTTTTGACGTATCCTGGATAATTCATAATAGAAATCATCCGGATATCGCCTCCAGTCTTGCAGAGTTACTTAGTATATGTTTCCAGCCCTCGAAAACCTTCCATAAGACATTATGTCAATTCCAGCCACAGGAGCAGGTGTGGAACATCTTTTAAACTCCGCTCGTAATATATACTATAACCGCCGAGGCTCCTTAAAGCGTAGGTCCACTCGGGGCGATGTGACTTTTGTTGATACATTGGTGTATCAGACCCTGAATTATTGTGGAGCTTTCATTGAAGTGGAGAGCATAGTTCGGCCCCCAACGATCAACATTTGGAAAGGCGACATATAATGGGTCACTACCACATCTTAACGCACAACCTCGAAGCGATTGTCGTGATGGTAGACTAGTAATGAATATTACCAAAAGAGACCTCTAAAAAGACCACTAAAAAGACCGCAAAGGCCACTGAAAAGACTACTAAAGATACCAAGAAGACTATGCACCCAAACAAAGATTACAAGGCTATATCGGCGGCTAACTATCCTTAATCCTTATATATTATACGCTTGTAGGTTTGAGTCGAGTGGGAAGCCCTGAGGCAGAGGACGATGGTGTGGAGCCCAGGCGTCGTGCCAGTTGGCTAAACAAGCCCCCAGGTCCACTCCACTACGGTCTTGGCATATCTCTTAGCATATTTCCAATTTCACTTCTCCGTCGCCAAGACACTACGAGCCCCAAGAGTCCTAAACCAACCTATGAAAGAAATGAGTATGCAATAATCAGGGGGAAAATCCCGCAATACGGCATAATGGCCCCCGGTTTGGTGGGTTGATCGTATCCATTAGTGCCGTAGTTGAAAAGATTGTCCAGCTCGCTATTCCTTCCTACATAGTCGAAGTTGGACGCCTTAGCTCTTTCACACTTTTCTTGGCTTTTTTCTTCACGTTTCTCTACGTCCCACATCAAAAGGCTTCCAATAATCTTTTTCATTCAACTATTGAACTATTGTCATTGGTTAGACCAGTCATTCCTTTACTAGCATTCAGCATGATCTATCTGAGAATGCCAGGAGCACTCGTCAGTGCTTCGTTCTTTCTATATACTTTGACTAACGGCTTCGTTCTGTTTGAAAAGTCCAGTGTCAGAAACGCCGGCTACTCTGATTAATGTGTCGATGCTCTCTCCACAAACATCACTCAATGTAATAATGTCATTTCTTCGTTCGATGCCAACACTGCCTACTCACAGAGGATTTTAGAGTTGGGCTGTACTGAACAGTGTGGGGCTGCTCTGGTATCCTGGGAGAAAAGCATCAAGATATTGATGTTGCAAACCGTCAAATTTATTGCTGTGGCAAAGAAGAGATTAAGACCTAGAAAGATTGTACTGGGCGGGTACAACTGGCAAGGGTCTATATTCATGCGACGATGGCCACTGCAACACTGGGCATGAGGTCCAACTCACTGATTAGCGCTTACGGCGTCGGAGAGACATGCTCGTCAATGGACCCATCCCGTTCTCGTGCCTTCTGCTGCACCCCTGCCAGTGGAGACAGTCTTTTCATACCCGTACCCCTTGACTATCTGTTTCGTGGTCCTCCTGCTGATGATGGAAACCCCGAATTCAACCTCAAAGTAGATGATACCTGGGGAACTGGCAAATCCAAATCCAAGGAGGACCCCAACGCTGCTTCTTTTGGCTTTGTCGTGATTACTGCACCGGATGAAGTGTCAATCAGCTTGGACAAGCCTGACGGCTCTCCTTGGGAAGTCATGGATTGCGTCAATACCGACAGCGAGGAGGAGCAAACTGTGCGACTCGTCTGCACAGATGGCTCCGATACCAGCTTGTGCCACAAGATTCATCTCGGACTGGGCGTTCCGGGCACGATTCTTCAAATGCCAGACTCCTGCGGACCCGGCAAGTATGCCGTCGCCAAGAGCTTGAGTGTCTCTGACAACCAAGAACTTCCTGAAGATTTGGTCAAGCGGGATCCGGGCTCATCCCTGATGTATGACTTGACGTATGACTATGATTATTGCCGCGTTCCCCGATTCTACGGTGGCAGCGAGATGCGCTTGGATTTCAGTGATGAAAAGGGTTACTGGGACTCAGTTGTTGACCGCCCCAGTGACACCAAGCGCAAGCGTGACCACACCTATCATGAGAACCCCAAGCGCTGGATGGAAGAAGAATGGCGCGAGGTGTATCACTTCGGGGGCGTGGATCGTGATGAGCTTCACAAGCGGCGGTTCGGTGAGGGCGTCATTGTCTGGCTTGCCAACCTTATCGGTGTATCAGAAGCGGAACACACCGAGGAGTTCACCCACAGTGTTCCATGGCATTGGCGATCGTAGGGTCAGCCGCTGGTACTCTACAGAGCATCAGTATCCCTATTCCTTGCCGGTCAAAGTGGAAGGTATTACCGTTTGTTACTACCCCTGACAGCTGCCGGTGCATCTCAATGTCCCAGGTGGATATATTAACTTGGCGCGCACTGGAGAAATGGTGCCCTGTGCTTCTCAGTCGTAGGGGTGACCGTGCCACGATGGCACGTCGCTTATCATTGGCCTTTGGCCACGACAGACGCACACCGTAGCCTTTGCAGGTGCGGTTAGATTGAGAACACTGCGTGCACGCTGGGAGGGTCCGATCGCACAGAATCCGGCGATCTGAAAGCGACCGTTAGCAAGTCCACGCGCAGGTTCACATGGCGAGGCTCAAGAGGTGTCCATGGTGGAACATACCTCTATAAGTCCCACAGCTTCTACTCGCCATATTGTTTCTTCTGAGTAGGAGGCTATTGAACTCTTGGCGGTAGGCGAGGGAAATTACGCGACCTTGGGCAACTTCTCGCGGTCACTAGGGTAGGATAATAAGGGGTACCTGGATGATGATTCATGCCCACCGAGCTAATTACGGTGTTCCATTATCTCCAGGGCTGTATGCGGGGGCCGACTACATCCGGTCCAATAGGGTGTCATTTTAATCTACACAGGCCAAGAACGGGATTCCGAGAATAAACTTTTTTTTTTTCCTAAATCGGAGTATATCGCAGCGTAGGAAAGCGCATTATATATGAATCTAGTGACTGTACGACCGTTACGAAATAGGGATTTGTATGGAGAAACGAAGCATACGGATTCCTATCTATGGACTAAGGAGAGAGAAAGAGAAGGGAAAGAGAGAGTTAACTATAGCTCTCTATAGCGGTACCTACCTACGTATATTGTAAGGACAACTAGTCGCTAGAAGGACAACGCGCTATGCTCCTTACGGCCTAGTATTAATGAATGTGTGCCGAGATCAAGAATCATGTTTTATATAGTAAATTTAATAACTAGGAGCTATCTTCCAAGCCATAAGCTAGTCCAGAGAAGGAGTGGTTAAAAAGGATTGTATACTATATGAGCGAAGGCGCAACTGAGACAAGATTTCCTAGGAATGGTAGCTCTGGTCGTAAATGGGAAGGTTTAGATAGTCGCAATTGAAGCGATTTAATAAGACGTCCAACTCTAACCTAACATCCTTCTCTAATTTTCCGACGGCTGAATCTATTTATCCAGCCAGGATCAAGTACCATATAGGCTCTTTCCTAGCAGCCCGTATAAACGTACTGATGATAGCCGGAAGAATGATCCCCCAGACCGACACATTCCGAGTGTTGCCAAGCATGGCATTCAGAACAACAAATACCGTGCGTCTCCAGGCCAGTGCGCTTGCCGCAGCAAGGTATAGAGGACTTAAAACTTCGCACGTCAATGTTCTTGAACTGGGATTCTAAAGCGTAGTAGCATTGCTCAGCTGCGAAGGATGCCTGCGAAAATGCTACAGCATCTCGCGGTTCCAGTTGATGAAGAATTATCCGGACAATCTCAGGCGGTATGTTGACCGGCCACTTCTCCCTATAGGCGCGAGGCTTCCTCCAACAGTTTTGATGTTAGAAGTCGGGCTAGAGCACGGAACCCAGACGAACATTGGGTTGCTGAATAGTTGGAAAGCAATATTAGGCTCCTAGAGGCCAGAATGACCTCGTGAGAAAGCTCCACGAAAGCGACATGACGTGGTGAAATGACAATCAAGCGAACGTCGTCATGCCTGAACAGGGAGTCGCCAATATATCATTCGGCTTTTGAGACGGCTCCGTTTATCATGGCTTCGTATTCAACGTCAGCTTGTAAAACAACAAGGTATCCATAAATCCAATAGACGTCCGCGTCGGGGTAGCTCCAAAGGGGAATTGACGCGAAAGAGATTGGAAGCTCAACGTTGCAAGCGAAAGACACCTCAAAATCCCAGGCCGCAAGACGCAGGAAAGCAGTACATAGTACCCTGAATACAGGAGAATTGTATCTCCATGTCGAAGGGTCATCGACAAGAAAGCGCCAAACGAAAAAGAGGTCGGTAAAGAACCACCCCCGGTAGTTCGTTCATAGGTGTAGGGATGCCAAAGTCCATTTCAAACGTCTTGAATTGCTTTGCTTGCGTCTTATTGCTCTCACAAATATATTCACTGAACATATATTGAGGTTTCCGCACCACATGATAGTTTATGCTAGATGTATCATGGATCTTGGCGAGATCCATCCGCGTTTCCGAAGGTGTCAATAATCCATCAAGCTCACCCCATAATGAGATTGTGAAAGTACCTGCATCTAGATCGACAGTGTGTACATAATCTAGATTCGAGTGAATTGGGCTAGGAAACGGGACTGGTTCCCATCCTTCAAGATTGTCGGGCTTGTCGCGCAAATATTTGATTGTTCGCAATATCGACTCATCGTCAGGGGGACTCATCCGCCCTCGAGGGCGATGGAAGCGGTACCATTTCCCTAAAAGAGTATGTTAGCGTTTGCAAGTCGCATAGTGCGGACAGTGACCGACCATTGATGTGTAGGTTCCAGAGCCCTCTACACTCCATCTCTTTGGTGAGGTCTCAGAGGGAAAGTGCTTTGGGATTTATGGATATTCTGGGTGGCGGAGCTATTATACGCAGCGGACTGCTGGGATTATCGCATGAACAGCAAAGTGAAGTTCCTCTGCGGAAGTTTAGAAAAGAAGTTCCAAAGGTTCCTATATCTATCTCGAACAGCCCTTATGCATTCCGACGCGAAGAACGTCAGATCTTGCCAAGCGGAGCCAGTCGCGAGTTTTTAACGGTCAACTGACTTCATCAACCACCGCAGATGTAGAAAACTCGAAAACAACCTCCCACTGTCGAGACTTAACTGAATATAGAGCTTTGTGGCTGCATATAATAGCTATGGATAGTCCTTCTAATATATTCTGCGACCTACATCCCGACAGCATGCCCGGAGAAATTCCTGCGTG